AGTGTGAAAAGTGTGTTCACGCTGAAAATTACAAAAAGAAAAAGTGCACTTTAAATACCCGGGTGATGCAATTAGTAAAACAAAAAAACAAAAAACAAAGTGGGGAATGTTGGACACTTCATGCACTCAACTGTTGCGTCTACAGACTCTGATGTTGAATAACAAAATAACCATATAAAGTTAATACACTACACTTTATAATTTATAATCATACACACAACTTTATAATGGGTCACGGCACTGCATTTTGGGATCCAGTGTTCCTCTTAGTGATCAACTTATGATGAGTAGAAGGGTGAAAATAACCCAATAATACATTTAGAAAAAAAAATGCATCTTGAATTATTTTCAAATGTGTTTAGTATAGAAGTAAAACTCAATGAATTTCTTAGTGTTAACAGTCTACACAACCATATGGATTCTGTTTTACTCTATCTGGTTTAATACTTCCTGTATGACGCTCGTTGGAACAAAACCTTAAGGCTCGCTTGTCTTGCATTTCAAAGCATCAGGTGGAAGTTCCTGTCTCGCAGACATCAATGTGTCAGACTGCCCAACAGGAAGTCAAACATGAAAAACAAGCTCACAGGAATCTGGGCTTTCACCCTGCCTTTACATCCACAACAACTCAACTTCACTTTAAAAGGACCTTCAGGTATATTTCAACTTCAGCTTCAGATATCATTTTACTGGAGCTAATAGGTAATGTCAACAAAACTTAGAATAATACAGAATATATTATTTGCTAAAAAAGGCTTAAATAATTCACCCAAAAAATTGTATTTGGTCATTTACTCACCTCATGTCATCCCAAACATGTATGACTTCCTCTGTGGAACATAAAAGGAGAAATTCTGAAGAACTGTCCTGGCAAATCATTGAAAAGATTTAAAAAGGACAACTCATTCAGTCAGACATTTTGTTTTATTTATTATTTAAATCACGCTGATCTAGTTCTCCAGTTCAACTCACAGACTAAATTATCCATATTTACATGCTCAATAGAGGGGCAACATTCTCAGTAAAGAACATTATAGTGTTTGTGTATCAAATACTACTTTTTGTCTAAAAAATATTAAAACATTACAAAAATAGGCAACATCAGGAATATTAGGCTGCTGTCACTTTAATAACTAATGAACGAACTGTTATCACATACTTATAGTTTTTGTCGGTCACATGGATTAAAACGTTCAATACTTTTACGGTGCTTTTCTGTTCTTAAAAATCTTGAGAGTTTTTTTTTTTTCCAAAGAGACGTTCATGGCTTCTAACTGTATGGAAAAGAACAACCAATTAAATTCTCCTTTTGTGTTCCATGGAAGAAATTAAGTCACATGTGTTTGTTGTTTGATCCTCCCTAAAAGTTCCCCTGATAGACTTAAGTGATGCATCAGCACCAATAAAAAATAAATAAATAAATAATAAAAAAAAAAAAATCAGGAAGTTAAATTATAATAAAAAGTAAATTGGCAATGATGCTGGTAATACTGTCAATGCTAATATACATCATTATGGCGATGTTAATAGAACAGGATATTTTGATGCATTCAATATATTCCAAATGCATGACATTTTAAATTGCATTTGATTTTTTCATTTGAGCCATCTTCAAAAAGGCATCACAAACACAAAATCACAATCCTGTTTAAATGAGCTTTGTAACAAGGGAACCTCAGGCTGAAATAAGCTAGTGTACCTACAAGCAAGTCTCCAGCGGGCTGCACTGATTTGAGTGCTGCCGGAGGGCAGGGAGCAGGCCTGCGGGGGAAAGCAGAGCATGTTTCTCCCCCAGGGTTGTCTTCCAGCCATTAACTCCTGCCAAGTCGTCGCATTGATTCTTACTAAGGGGCTCAGCTCCACACCGGGTTAGACAACAGTTACAAACACAACTTGAAATGGAGAGATGGAAGGCAATGGTATGAGGTCTCATGCATCCAAACATTAAAACAAACTTTATGGTACATACTACATAGGGTCAAGGTTACAAATAATGTCAAGAAAATATACATGTAAACATACACCCACAGTTACATGCACAAAAGAAATAGAAAAAAAAAATGGTGTGGAATAAACACATCTGCTGCTGTACTGACTAGTCTATAGAGACCACGGCTTGACAAAGGACAGACAGGAGTGTGTTTCCATGCCAGTGAGCTCTATTATCTCTAATAATATAGTGGCTGGATGAGGTGTCCACTACACTTCTGCTTCATAACAAAAAGCTGATGCCTTCATGTGACACCTTTTCGTTATATGAGTGAGGTCTGAGGATGTCCCAAAATGTACACCGTACTAAGAGACGAGTTTGTTATAGTAAAAAAAAAAAAAAAAAAAAAAAAAAAATTGTATCACCCCATCTCTTTACCCACAAATTCAGTTTGGTATTTCTATTTGCTAGCATTCTATTCAGTGTATTGTTTATTTAATTTAATTTTATTACACTACCATTCAAAAGTTTGAGGTCAGTACGATTTTTTTTTCTTTACAAAAGAACAGCATTTACTTGGAAAAAAAATATTTCGTACCATTTTGAATGACTTTACTGTCACTGTTAATTTAATGCATCCTTGCTAAAAACATCATACTGAGCACAAACCTTTGAACAGAAGTTTATACTTTGTGTGTGTGTGTTTATATATGTAAGCAAAGAAGAAAAAGAACTTCGCTGTGAATATATCAGGGCCTTGGGTCTGTTTCGTCTGATGCCGTTATGTCTGATGCCTTTTTGTCTGCGTCTGTTTGACAATGACAATGTTTTTTCTGAGACCTGATGCCTTTCAGTCTGAGGTGCAATGCCGTTTTGTCCAATGACTGAAGCCTTCTAGTGTGAGGCATGATGCCTTTTCGTCATATGAGTGATGTCTGAGGACGTGATAAAATGTACACTGCATCAGTGTCATTGATACTAATTTAAATGAGAAATTTTTTTATTTACAAAATAAAATGTGAAACAATTTTTAAAAAAAATAAATTAATATGTTCAATAACATACTGTATTAGCATTTTCTGTGCAATTTGTATCCAGGATAAGTAAAATTTTACTGGTATTGGCATTAACTACTGAAATTTTGGTATTGTGACAAAGGTAAATTATGAAAGTTGGTTCATTATGGGCATCGGCACAGGTCCACAACACTCTCTGGGCCAGATGTACGTACATTTGCGAACGCAGTGTTAGTAGCGCCATGCCCCCCAGACCCAAGATGGAGAAAGCGCTTGATGTGAAACCACAGTGTGCGTGTTATGCACCAAACCTGCAGTTCAGCAGGTAATCAGCGGCTGTCCGCACTATAACGTAAATTGCGCAATTGGGCCTCCACCTCCCCTGCTAATGCCACGACTGTTTGAAATGATCCTGTTGCCAATAATTGTAATGAAGTGAGGAGAACAACTGCTGGAATGGAATGTGAATGCTGAGTCAGTGATTCAATGTCATCTTTGATTTCTTCCAGTAACTGTAATATTGTGTAGCTGCTTAATCTGTAGCACAATGATTTTGTTTTCACTCAACTGCAAAAGTATGATTCTTGTGGCAAAAACCTTTTCAGCTCATCTCCTTACATTTGTTCATTTAATTGACGCTTACAATTGCTATATATGTCAGAGGTCGCATGCCTCTGGAGCAACTAGGGGTTAAGTGTCTTGCTCAGGGACACATTGGTGTCTCACAGTGGATTCAAACCTAGGTCTCTCACACCAAAGGCATGGGTCTTATCCACTGCGCCATCACCACCCCATCTCCTTATCCTATTTCTTCGACTTGTTCGGATTACTGCTGCCATTTCACGAGGAGGCAAATGCCAGGAAACCCACTTCCTAAGTTACACCTGCTTTTAAGAGGCAGAGAAATTTCAGAGCAAAATAGAGGCACGCTTTCACCGGCTTATTCTGCACATAATGCGGAATACATAATTAGGTGCAGTTTCCCCTCCCATCTCTTTATCTGACACTCCCACTTTCCCCCTGACCATCCAATGAATGCAAAGCGCATTTTGCCATTTTCAGTTCCTGCGACAGGCAGTCTGCGCTTTCATCTCAGTGCGTCCCATTTGTACATACCTCGCCATGGTTTTATGCGCACTTTGCAAAACAAATACGCCTGAAGTGGGCGCAAAAGCGTTAGTACATCTGCCCCTCTGTGTTTATCAACCTAACCAAATACTTACATTGTGGGGACCAAATATCCCCACAAGGACAGTAAAACCTGAAATCACTATGTTGTGGGTACCAGACAGTGATCCCCAGAAGAAAAACAGCTTTAAAAATATCTTAAAAAAATTATTAGCTCAGTATAAAACAGCAGAAGTCAAAGTAAAATTCCACCATGATTGAAAAACAAACGTGTGTGTGTGAGGTCAGTGAGGAGGTCTTCCTTTTGTGAGTGACATTGCTCTGTCCAGAGGGACTAAATTTAATGAGCTCCAGATTTTGTTCTAATGACTACCCCCCAGCACCTAAACCACCCCCACCTCATTCATATTCTTCTGTTCTGTTCGCTTTCTCTGGTGTGGAGGACATTAGCAACCTCTTCTTTGTTCACTCCAGGCCATTAGGAAGGCCTGTCTCAGCTGCACAAACACACGCCAGTCATCTCAATTACTCTTATGAGCACACATAGGCCAATATCTCAGGAAGCACACACATGCAGACATGACAAAAGAGGGAGGAAGACTAGTGAGGGTGGAAGTTGTGAAACTAGGCCAGACTACAACATGGTGCATTATCAGTGAAATCTTTATTTCTGTAGTGACAGTAAAGTGTGAGTTGTCATCTGTGCTTCTTTATAATGCTTATGCTAATTTTTAAGGCTGGAGGAGTGGCTCCAGCTGTCTGCCATGAGGACACAAAGTTACAAACCCAAACCCTAAAGGATGTCAGTGGAACTTATATGTAATTTAGTGGCTTCGGGACAGTCATGGTTGTTTCTTGCCCTCCGTCAAACAGTTAGGTAGCCTAACATGCACCTTTCCTGCGACAGAAGCGGTTTTTAGACTCACCAGGCTGCAGTACACTGATGCCCAGCGGGTTGGAGGTGCGGTTGGCCACCGTGCTCCAGGTGCCATCGTAATTCCTCCGATAAAGCAAGGCAGCACATTGGTACGTCCCGGCCTCCTTGCGTCCGGCTCGGGTGATGCTGAGACGGAAGTTGGTGTTAGTGGGTGTACGATCCACAGTGGTACGCGTGCCAAGGCCCAGCAGTTGATCGCCCCACTGCAGAGTCCCATCCCGCGTGAACGTCACCAAATCTCGGAACTCTCCATCGCCCTCTGCTGGCTGGAAGCGCCATGTGACCGCAGCAGGAACGTTGGGATTGTGTCGTGGCTTTACGATGCACTGTAGGTCAAACGAATCACCAAACGTCACGCTGGGCGTACGAGAGGATGCCGATACAAAGAAGAAAGATTCTGGAACAAGAACAACAAAAGAGAATTAATATAGCGATTACGTATCTTTACCACAATGCATTTACACAATTCAATTCATGCACTGATAAGCATGTATTCCAACTCATCTTATAATAAATATGAGTCAGAAGAACTGTGCTTTTATGATATTGATTTCTGATATTCATTTGATTCTTTTATAAGTGTAATACAATACAAAACTGGTTCTGCACTAATGCCAGACTTAGTTATTTGTTATTTTATTTATCTATTTCAAATATGCCCAAACCTGGGCCAATGATAATTGACCCATGCTATGAGCGGAAAAAAAAAAAACATGCCATTGAAATAGACATTTGTTGGCAATAACAGCAATTTATATGCAAAATATTGTTAAAATGTGGCACTTCAAAATAGTGAAAAAAATTATATGAAATTGAATAATCACTTATGTGTATTATTATTACAGATGTCGTCTCCATGTACACATTCACTGCCACAACAAACGTGGAGCATGTGAGATTGAGGAAAAAAATCCACGTTAAATTAAGAACAATCATGCTGCCAAGTTTAAATTTCTGCATTATTATCCTTAAATGTGTGTGTCATTTTTTAACAAAGTTCATTTTTGTTTTCATCCCCATGGAGTTGCAATAAATTAGGCTTATGCAGGAATACCCTGTGCTGTAAATTACCTTTTGTTTATTATGTGTCATGCAAAAAGATAATGTGAACTGATTACTGAACTGAATTTCAGTTTGTTTCAATGTAATCAATAAATGCAGGTGCATTTGTATGAAACAAGTGTCCAGAGTCCCTTTAGGGCAAGTAATTTCACTCTGCAGCCTTTTAGTTGTTTAATTAAATTATCATGCATAATTTAAAGATGGTTATTATTCCCTTATTAATAATATATTTCATTTATATTTTAACCAGTAAATATTGTCACATGAAATACTAATCTGCTTTGCACAATTTGTATAATAAAAAATCATAATTTATTTGAGAATTAACTTAAACATTTATTTTGTTTCTTAAATGTTCAAGATTCTTTTCTTTTTTATTTTATTTCTGCACTTTTTTTACTTGGAGTGCTTTGTTTTTAATCCAGTATCCATTTAAAATTATTTCGGTTGAACAATCGGTTATTGGCATGCATGTTCAAACCTAAATATCGGTATCGGTAAAATCCACCATCAGTCAACCTCTAGCCATTTCCATTCACAGCCTACCTTATGATGCCACATTGCTGGGCTGTAACAAAGGGCAGGTTAACACAAAACCTGCTGGGCACAAGCTTTGCCAAGCTCTTAGCAGTACCACAAGACTCTGGCAAAGTTAAGGAAGTAAATTTCATTTGGTGACCCTCTCTGTTCTTCAATTAGGTAAAATATTAAAGGAACGGGGCAGTAAAGTTAGATGTCAACATTATCAGACTACTCTTTCTGCATGCTAATAAGCCTCAAAGACTTCCTGGGAGAAATCCCAACGTTCAGACGTTCACTGGGCTGAGAAAGGCTAGCAGGAGTTTGTTCTCTTTGGGAGGAAAGCTTGAGATCAGTAGAGTTAATCTACTCTGCGTTATTTTGATAAAATTTGGACAAGGTGACCTGTAGCACGCCAACTCAATCCTACGGGCAGCAACCGGGGAAAGCAGCCAAAAGGAGATTACACACACATCCCCTGTTTATTGAGCACATGCAGACTAATCCTGCAAGAAAAAAAAAAAAGAAAAAAAACTGATATACTGCTGGATTCTATTTTTTTTTTTTTTTTTTTTTACATTTAATGAGCTCAGTTTTGCTCAGATATTGAAAAAAAATGTCTCAAACGAGGATTATTGGTGGATTTATAAGTGTTTTATGCAAAGCCATTCAGCAGCTAAAACTACTGTGTTATAGTGTTATAGCAAAAATAGTGTTAAGTGTTATAGCAAAAATAATCATATTTTCACTGAGTTGTGAGATTGAAGTCAGAATTGAATGTGATCAGATCAAAAGATAAGAATAATGCCAAGAAAACACATGCCAAAAAACGTCACTCGGTTACTAACGTAACCTCCTTTAATTTTTCCTATGTGTAAAACGCATTGTTGCACAGAGCAAAGTTAGGCGAGGCAGCTTGCGCGCCTATTGGTCGCTCTGTGGCAAATGCTGCAACCTATCGATGGACTGGTCATGACGTGAGTACCGGTGAGGGTGCAGGCACCCTTGTGTGTTATGTCCCGCCGAAATACGAGTGGCTTATCACTATATAAATCGAGTCCAGAAAGGGTGTTCTTTGGTTTTTATCTCGAAGTGAACCAGAACGCAGCACTAGCATGCCAGGGTTACGCGACACTCGTTCCCTCTACTAGAGAGAACCGAGTTTACATTAGTAACTGTGTCGCTCTCTTACGAGAGTACTCTCGTGTTGCGTAAGCTAGCTTACGCTACGGGAACCCAATGTAAAACGCTGTGCGTTCTGAAATCATCAACTCATAGTCCCAATGGGCAAGTGCCCGGGGAACAAATAATAGTGAAGACGGCCGGGCCGGGGAAGTGGCTCGACAGTCCAGGATGACCATATAAGGGAGTGTGACACCTCACATTGCTTAAGATGATTGCTTAAAGGCACACTATGTATGAATTCCATTTTTATCAAAATAGAGTCGCTGTGTAGAACTTGTATTTAGCGTTACTGTCGTAAATACCACTCACGCAGAGCGTCTCTGCACTCACGGCCTGATACCCCTTTGAAGCTGTTATATTAAGGTACAAATCTGGCATTGTGTGCATTTAAATAGGAGATCTAGGGGGTATTTATGGGTAGGCCTACTATGATATTAGACTACATAGCCTATAATAAAAGATAATGAATTTCAAACCTGAACCGAACTTTTTTTTTTTTTTCAAAGATCAACAATCTGTCATTAGTCTCCAGGTCACAGTGAGAGACGGACACCACATTTCTCAGATCCCTGAAGCTTTCTGGATTGGGGCCCACCTCGTCCAACGTGCGGAGAAGGTTGGCCTGATAAATTTGCAGAACAGCCATGGAAGGCAGTGCTGACACGGCTTGACCGGCGGCGGAATAAGTGCAACTGATCAGAGCCAAAGTGGTCCTGCAGGGCTTTGAAGGCAACGCCAGCTTCGATTGCCATCCAGCAGACAGGAGAGATGAGTGGCCACCGCTTCCTCGACCTGAGGAAGACTCGGTTTGTCTTTCACGCCGTCCACAATGGAGAGCGTCGAAGAAACAGAAGAACGAAGCAAACAAAAGGATATTTTTTTTGGCTTCAGTATTCTCGAGAAAAGGTATTTTCACGTAGCATAAGCTAGCTTACTCAAAACAAGAGTACTCTCGTAAGAGAAGAAGGATTAAGCAAGACTTGTGTGATCCAATTCAGGAAATGCACAAACTCAAACGTTTGAATCAATCTAAGGAATCCTTCACCAAATTAAGCAATGAATCAATCACTAGTCAACTAATTCACTTGCAGTCACTAGAAATGGCCAATAACACTTACAGTATATTCTTTCAGACATGAAGCCAAGTGTCATTAATGCCATTATTGATCCTAACACCAAAACTTCAAATGGGGATGTTGTGATTTCTGGCAATAAAATGGGTAATGATTGTTATATCAAACAATACAAAAACTAATTAACCTAAAATACATGTCACGTTTAGCTAGATTGTTATTTAATGGACTGAAATAACTGCAGATGAAGCTAGTTTTCTCTGTCATTACCTCAAGTAAGCACCTAATAGTTTGAGTGTACTCATTTTCAGGTGAGCATAAAGATAAATTCCTATCCTAAAAAAACAAACAAAAAAAAACAAAACAAAAAAAAACATTTGAAGAGTTCAGATGCAAAAGCCTCTAAATGCCATTTGAAATTTTCTTCTTTAATGATGATTTTTATCAAACTTGTATATTTAAGTTCAGTAATTTCACTTAAATGGCAATGATAATTACCTATTAATTGTTATTTAAGTGAAATTACTGAACTTAAATATACAAGTTTGATAAAAATCATCATTAAAGATGAAAATTTAAAATGGCATTTAGAGGCTTTTGCATCTGAACTCTTCATTTGCACTATTATATTTAAAAAGAAAATTCAACCATCTTTTTTTCTCACCTTTAAGTTGTTCCAAACCGGTATGTCTATTTATTCTGTTAAAAGTAAAAGGAGAAAATGTGAAGAACTGAAGATGATATTTTGAGAAACGTCTCAGTGTTTATGTCCAAACAATGGAAATCAATGTTGAACAAAACTTTGGTTACATTCTTCAAACATTCTTTTATGTTGCACAGAACAAAGAAAGTCATACATGCTTGGAACAACAGGGTGAGTTAAAGTCGACAGACATCCCTTTAAATATTGACATTTATTACTAAAATAGCACAAGCATAAACAACGTTTATTGGATGATCAGACGTGGAAAGAAGAGAGAGAAATGAACAGAGGAGATTCTGAAAAATTTAGGACAGACTTGAGCATGTGTGACTCAAAGAATGATGTGACGTTTACAAGGATTGATAAGAGAGAGAAATAAAGAGAAGGCAGCATTTTAAAGGCATACTGCACGTTTCATGTTTTGATGAATTCCAGTGCTTTAGTCTCTTGTAAACACATGATCAGAAAGGCTTCCTATCCATCCTGTGTTTGACTGCAGGGAACCATGATCAATGCCATCTTCTCTAGAGTGCAGGGCTATTGGACATATGCTGAGAGCGATTATTTATGGAAACATTAACACAACAGCTTTCACATACACAACCTTTTACAAATTCCAACATTTTCCCCACTGTTACTTTGTGTGATCCATTGCACACGTTTTAATAACTAATCAATGATCACAGGAACAGTCACGACACCTGAAGAAATGGGGAAATGTGCAGCATGAGCTGCTGCCTGAGAGGAGCGAGCCCAGGCAGACAGAGCTGTATTGTGTTTGATTATTCCAGACACACAGACATGCTCAGAAAAACATGTAGCGTACACCCACCCTCACGCACAGTGGGAATAGAGATTTCAAATCTAGTAGCCTGACACAAGGGGAGGTTTAAGTCGGCCTCTGGATGACTTTTCATGTCAAGAATCGGGCCTCTACAACTGGCTGTTCCTTCGGTCACAGCAGTTTCTTCTCTTTGCTGTTAAACTGTTTATAACAGATATGCAAATTCTTCCTTTCTGTAAACAAGTATTATTATTGAAATTTTATGATTCATAATAAGGTAATAAGCCTTTCAGAAAACACATGCAAGCGAAGGAAATCTGTGAGGCCCGTGTAAAGCCACTCAGGGTCCATTCCACAAGCCATAACTAAAGCCAAACTTTATTAACTTTATAATTATAATATGCTAATGAGGTGTTTAAGAAAAAATATCAGTGTTGAAAACAGTTGCAGTACTCAATAGTTTTACTATTTTTTTTCAGGATACTTTGATGAACAAAAATTTCAAAAGAACAGTATTTATTTAAAACAGAAAACTTTTGTAAAATGTCTTAACTGTCACTTTTGATCAATTTAACTAATTTTTTTTAAATAATTTCTTAAAAAAAATGCTTCAAAACAGACACTACAACAGTCATAATACGAGGCACACTCTATGGTGTCTTTTAAAAAAAGCATAATTCAACAAATAATACACCTGAAATATAAAAAAAAATATCCAACTTACTGCACTTTACTGCAATGCTGCATTCCTGCAGATTTACAGTTTACATTCTTTTAATTCAGCTAAGAGGTCACACCATAACGTTACTCTTCTATTGTTCACATGCAGTCACGTGACATGAATTCACAGGTCGGAGTTCACCTTCGGTTCACCTGTCTCTTACATTTGCATGAACATTACAAGAAGTCAATGGAATGAAGATTGTAGTATGAGACCACGCTCTCAAACACAGCCATACATTCAGGGACTTAAAACAGGCAGAGTTTTTATGTTTGTTATTTAAATCACCAAAAGTTTGTAAACTAAAGAAAGGGTTTCTCACAAATATCTCACCTAATCATCTAAAATTGTGTGCTCAAGGACAGATGTACCATTAAAAATAAAAATATATGTTTATCCATCATCCAATTAGCATGCTGGGAGCTCTAACTGCTTTCATAGCAATAAAAAAAAAAGTAAATTGTGGCAGAATGTGTGTCTCGGCACACCTCTGGGTGCCATGTGTAACCCAGCCAAACAATTCCACCACTACATGGTGGCCAGCAGCCAGTCAGCACCCATACCACTGCCAGACACTAATGAGCATGTTAAGACACTCCATAAACAGAATAACCTGCTTCACACCCCGTCTTGATCCTTCATACAGTCACCCAGAGTCAATGCTGGAAAACACAACACTGCTATTTTTACTCACCACCACCAACACACCTGTCAAAGGACAAGAGCAAAGGACACAAACACTGTCTTAGCCTCATGGACAAATTAGAGTGATTATCACATGATCACATGCACATCATACTCGAACAAAGTGACTCCTGCTGCATCACACCTGGAGAAGTCTGTACTTTACTCTGTAAAGGTAAAGCAGCTGACATGAAGAGCATCACGCTGCTACTCTTTGAGCTTCAAATCAAAAGCAGAGCTGATGAAACACTTCAACAAAGCTGATCCAGACAGCAGAGGAAGGAAAAATGATCAATGTCAATCGCAGAGGAGGAGCATAGATATAAATAATTAAGAGGAATAAAAAAGCTGTGTCTTTGTCATCTCATCAAAGCTTCGTTACGGAGGAAACATTAAGACTAGATGCTGGATAATATTAGCCTGGTCCCACCAGACTCTCGTACATTTCATATGTACAGAGATAGATTTCCTCCATAGAACTGAGGGGAATGAAAATTGAGCGGAAGTACGTAGGATGGCGGAGCCAGGGATAATATTCCCAACCTTAAAGCTTCGACAAAAAAAAAAAAAAAAAATTAAAAAGTCACAATTACCTCTTTAATGTTTTTACTTTGTGGATTTGTGGACTTTTACCGCAGATCATGTGCCGAAATTTCCACTCCCATCTGCAGTTTTTGGATTTGCGCTGTCACGCTGTGGATTTGCCCTGTTTAGTATATCCGGCCCTAAATGTCTTCAAAGTCTTTTGAATTTTGAACTTTTGAAATTTTTCAGTCTTTGAATTAAATAAACCCTTGCTGAAAAATATATTACAGACCCCAAGAAAAAAAATAAAAAAAAATAAATAAATAATAAATAAAAAAAAAAAAATAATATATAAATATATAATATATATATATATATATAATTGATATATATATAATATATATATCAAAGACAATATAAACAAGACACACTATTAGAAATTGCTATGCTAAAAAAATGGCTAAAAAAAGTTGCTATGCTAAAAAAGTTATACTGCTTTTTAGAGAAAGACAGTCTTTAAATGACTGACTTACAGATGTTTCTGAACACTTCACCTTCAAAGCAGAAGACATATTGTGTGTTATCAAGAACTGATGGAGTATCTTTTCTAAAAACCACTCATTGTCACGCAACACACGCTCACACAATGTGTTTATTTAGAGCATCTGCCAGCTTGCTATTCAGTCATGTTTTTCTTTTTAGCCATGTGCAAGCATGTGCGTATGAATGTGTTCTCATTACACACACAGTTAAAGTGCAGACTGGGAAGTCACGGCTATTGATTTTGATGGAAAGCTGACAGACAGCGTGTCCCACGGCGCTACATGAACATGATGCTATGTAATCATGATCATGACTGAGCGATCGACTTCATAGAGGATCCAACTTTACAGTGCCACTTCAAAATTCACTTTACTCCACTTGAGTGAATACATTTTCTTGTCACTGTGTAAGTGTACGTGTGAGTTTGCATATCCTTTTGTGTATGAAGCAGGGAAAAAAAAAACAGAATATTTATGATGTCATAAATATGACGTGTTGCTTGCTGACAGTAAAAATACACTGCATGAGTACAAATATATATGCAAATATGGTGTCAGATATTTACTTAATATGAAAGATTTGTCCCCTGCCTGGTGTGTATGCTGATGTGTATTGTGTAAACTGTGATATATATATATATATATATATATATATATATATTTATTTATTTTTTGATGAAAGAAAGTTTCAGCATTTATTTAAAATAGTAATCTTTTGCAACATTATATGGGACAGATATACTAATAGCTTACATCAGTTCAAACTCTTTTTCGACTTTAAAAAAACAACTGTCAGGATTTACTAAATACACGCAGTGAAAAATTAGCGCTGAAAAGATGTGGACATGGTTAGTTGACATTATTGCATATGCATTTGTAGAAGTTTCCCTTTCAGATGCACAATTTATGGGATGAGAGTATTTGAATGATTCATGCAAGGTGAAAGTTTGGGCTCATCAATTCACTGGTATCTGTGCCATTATTTACTAAGCATTTCTAAGCATTAAATATTAAGAATTTCTAAGCATGTCTAAAAATGATCCAGCTGTGTCTGTGTTCTTTCATTTGTGTGTCGTCAGTAGATCATGTACTTTCCACTCCAATCTGTGCATTTTTTGGATTTGCGCTGTCATGCTATTTTGCCCTGTTTAGTATATCCGGTCCTAAATGTCTTCAAAGTCTTTTGATATTTATATATATTCTATTTATATATATTCTATTTTTTCTTTCCCCTCAAACTGTGTATGCGTCTTACCAACTGCTTTTACTGTAGTGGTCTTGATGGCGGATTCGTCTCCAATCTGCTGCCAAATCCAGTCTGGTGCAGTTCCACTCTGGGACCACTCGGTGGCGCTGCATCTGTACTGGCCCTCATCTGTGGGGAAGGCATTATACAGCACCAGGGTGAATGTGTCGGACCGAACCCGCTCTACCCGAACCTCTCCATAGCTGCTGCGCTCCCTAAAAGTGGGCCCAGGAGTGACCGTGCCTTCACGATCCACAGAAGCCACGTTCACGGCAGGACCCGCGTCTTCCTTATCCGTCCACTGCCATATCACTGACAGGGGACCCAGAGTGTTGCTAACAACGCAGGTCAGCTGAATTGTCTCCCCCTCCATAATCTCTGAAGAGTTACTGGATAACGACACAGTGATGTTACTTCCTATGAGAGACAGACAAACAAGAGTGGAAATTAGACGTTGTTTTTTGGAAACATGACACTAGTGCAAGTTTATCATGATAATTGTAGAGCAAATTTACATTATGCATGAGTAAATTACTCATGGCAAGCTGTACAAGAAACTCCACAAAAGGGTGAAAATGTAAAGTACTTTTAAAATCCTCCTGTACTGCACTCAATAATTTTATCCTTTAAAACTCATCTTTACAAATCAAAATGACATATTTAAACACATTTTTATGTATTGATAGAACATTGGGCAACAGTGATTAATTGTATTACTCTTTGGCTTCACTATGTTATCAAACAGCTTATATTGCCTATGTTACACAATCCATTTTCCCGTTCACCATCATCAGCCAGACAATTGCCTTCTAAAAATCAGCATCAAATGCTACAAACATCATAGAGAGTGTGGAGAAATACATATACTTCATCATAACATCATATACATTATTTGCCCACTATATGTACCCATATTTTCTGTCACTTTTTAAAGGTTTCTTGTGCTCACTGTGTTAAAATTTCCCACACAGCATGATAAGAATGATAGGAAAAAACATTTCTCGCACATTGATGGGATTGGTTGCATGTTTGTGACGGTAGGAACTGCGTTTTTCAGACTCTCTTTGGTACACTGCAGTTTTAATGAGAAAATACTTGGCAATATTGTTGACTGATGTATGCATGGATTGTCTTAAGTATATTAAAACACCACATAGAGCATATATAAGCAAAATTAAAAACTTGATTTTCACCACAGAGAAAGTACACAAGAACATCCCTTTCACTTTGTTTGGATGGTGCCTTTAATACATTTAGTTGACTATAAGTAACGTTGAGTAGAGTGTTAGAGTATTAGTAGACTGGTAGGGTTAGGGATAGAATAAGTTGACATGTAGTTGCAAATTTAATCATAGTCAGTAGAATGTCTGCTGGAGAAGCATCACAATAAAGAGTTAGCAGATATTAAGCAGTTTACTAATACTCTAATGAGAGTTAGTTGACACGTAGTTGCAAAGTTACTTACAGTCAACAGAATGCTCAAATGTTCAATTTAAGCCTTGTCAAGCTAACGCACATTCAGAGCAATATGATGTGATTCCTTTACTAATGAGGCAACAGGTTCATTTTAACCGAAAGGTCAGAACTTCCATTTCTCTCATTAATTTACCCACGTTTTCTCATTTTATATGGTCTCTATAGCTGTGAGGCAGATGGATTCTGATAATACCCGAAGCAAAAACACACAGTTCCAGTTCTCCATCAGGTTCCTTTGGGTTCTATTGGACAGTGTATTTTTTTTTTTTCATTAATTTACTTCCCATTCTTCATTAAAGACTAAGCCACTCAGATTAATCACACAACCAGACTAGATTCAAAGCAATAAAATGTTTTAAAAGTCAGTAAAAAGTACTGTAAACTGTTTTCTATTTATATTTTGAAATGTAATTTATTTATGTGATGCCAAGTTGATTAAGACTTCAGTAAAAAGAAATGTGCAATGGTATGGGAGTGGGCAAGTCTGTTGGGCTATGGCTAGTGCATCTCTTTAATTTAAAGAATTCTTTTTGATTGAAGTTGAAAGTGGCTTCTACAGAACATAAAACCATTGCACATTTGAGCTCATGTTAGGTATGAAAAGTTTATACTGTGTCTTTCTGTTGCGCTCTACACCAGGCAAGGCCTCTGACTAGAAGGACTTTTAGGGTAGTTTTCTCATCAAGAGGTCTAGAGCCTGAGAGATCTTGTAAGTATGAGTGTAGATCAAAGGCTTCGTAGACATCTCAACAGTTCTGTCGAGTTCTCGACAGGGATTTCACACCATCACATCCCTATAAAAGCAGTGTGTAATAAAAAAAAAAAAAAAAATAGAACTTTAAAGAGACAAAGTTTGCACCCTTCCCATGGGTCACCCAAGCCCTCCCTTCAGAAAGAGGCTGTGGCAGAACTTTTTGAGAAGAAAACCGCCATGACCAAGAGGGCAAGGAACACAAGAGGCTTTGAATTCATGCATAACAAAAGAAAAACATCTAGGGATAAAACCTCTTCAATTGCTAATGTGCTCCTTTTCTCAGAGGACATGAAATAGAAGTTTACACAGTGATCAGCTTGAGTACAGAACAGCACAGCATGTACCCAACCTACTGTAGTCTCTCAGTCTCATATATTGTCTGAAAGACCTAACTAGATAGTTGGTGTGGCCTTCATCATAAGAGAGAGAGAGAGAGAAAGAGAAAGAGAGAGAGAGGGGGGGGGGGGGGGGGGTTATTTTCCAACCTTTCCAAGGTTCTTTTCCCTATTTCATTTTCCAACCTTTCCAAGGGTCTTTTCCCTATTTCTACAGTAAGTGAGTGTGTGAAGAAAGGGCTGAGCACTGTGTTGTCTCGATTCCATGCTGTAGCAATCAATCTACTGCTCTAATAACCCTGCAAATATGGCACATGGTCTTCTGCAGGGGCAAAGCAAAAAAGAATGAAAAAAGAAAAGAGAAAAAGAAAAACGCAAGCTTTAATAATTTCAACCTTTCCAAGGGTCTTTTCCCTTTTTTCTACAGGCCAATGCACACCAAAGACAATAATTGATAAATATATTAGCATTCACACCAACAGATGATAACATTGTTTATTAAAGGGATACTCCACCGGGTTTTCATATTAAACTATGTTATTCCCTTAACTAAGACGAGCTGATGCATACTGTACCTCTCTCGTCTCAGTGCGTGCACTCTATCGCTCTGTATTGCCACAAAACTATGTTAGGACTTAGCTTAGCCCAGTGCATTAAATATGGGCCAAAAAGAGAAGCGACCAAACACTTCCTCGTTTTCCCTATTTAAACACAGTTACTCGATTAGTGTAACTCGACCTAGGCTGGTGACACAAAATAAAACGTTGTGTTTTTCTAAGCATTTACAATTGATGACTATATTGTATGGCGGAATACCATAAAAAAGTGCTTTAGAGCACTTCAACTTGGCGCAATAATACCTTCACTCACGAGTTCATAAGTCAGCACCATTGCACCAAGAGTATTTTCTCTTTCAAACGGCAGTAAAATCAGGGTTAGAAATTTCTGGTGTTTCTTATACGTCAAAACTTTGTAACCAATCATGTGAACTTGTGATCATTGACGAGTAAACTTCTGATCTGGTGTAAGTGAGTGGAGAGGGGTCTAATTTTCATATTTACACACCCGCATATACTAAAAGAGGCAAGGGTGAAGAGTTACATTTAAGCTATTTTAAGGGAAGGAAAAACACTTTTAAGTATGTAATTTTGGTGATCAAAGATGAGTTTTAAGGCATACAATTATTGAGTTAAGGGGGACTTTCAGAAGGAAATTGCTACTATCATATGGGAGGACCATATGGTTTCTTGATGTGGCCTTTATTAAGGTTCTTGTAGAAACTTGTAGGTCCTTTTAAACCTTCTAAAGCAGATCCCCAGGGGAGAAGGAAGGATTTCCCTAAACCAATAGAGTGTGATAGGACCATTGCTAAAAGGGGTGGATTCAGGTGGCCAAGGCTCAAGCAGAACAGATCTTTTCTTACTAACCTTTGATTAACCTTCTCTCCCCCATCTACTCATCAACTCATCAACTCCTTGAGCCCAGTTGTAGTTTATTTGCCTGGGCACAGTCACATCCACCTAGGGGATCTATCAAGGCTGTGCTGATAGCGACAGTATTCCAAGTTCTAAGCATCATTTCATGCTTGTTAGACTTGGCTTTTCGAGTAACTCTCGCTTGAAATGCAATGCTATTTCAAGGGCTTTCAGGACTCCACAAAATGAGTTGTGAAAAAAATGCTGTGCTTTAAACAATTTTACACAGTCCTGTATTATCCACTCACACACCACAGGGCAGGGCAGCTACTCTGAAAGTGCAGCTTAGAATATAAACAACAGTAAAGCTACCCTTTCAAACAGAGTGATTTTGAAGGTATTTTATTGGTCAACGTATTAATAAATAAATAGCATGATCATCAGATCTGTTTTTTAACAATCTGAGTAGCATTTACACTGCTGTTCATATTTTCGGAGTCAAAAAGTCTGTATGCAAAAAAAAATGTTGCATTTATTAGATCAAAAATTATGTAAACACAGGAATATTGTGAAGTATTATTACAATTTAAAGTAGCCATTTTCCATTTTATTATTTCTGTCATGGCAAAGCTGAATTTTACATATTTGAATACACACACACACACACACACACACATATATATATACATAGTTACTTATATAAAGTTACTTTGAAAAGTATGCATTACAAAATTGCGTTACTCCCTTAAAAAGTAACTAATTGTGTTACTGTAGTTACTTGTTACATTACTTTTGCGTTACTTTTTTCACCTGGTCTGGTTGTTTTATAACAAAAAAAAAAAAAGTGTTATTTTTGGGCAAACGTAAAGACCCTTTCACACCACAAGTCAAATTATAAGGCTCAGACTGAAGGAAGTGCAAATTCGCAATTCAAACAAACCTTTCAGCACTGCTGCCATTCTGGATAACGGAAGAATAGGACAAAGAGAAAAAAGTTTAACACCAATAAAAACAAAAATATATAAAAGTAATTTTTGTTTCAGCAGCAAGTAAATTGGTCAATAAACAGATTAAATGCATGATATATTTGTTTTATTTAACATATTTTATTATTTAAGATTTGCATAGTCTGATTGACTCTACATTTAAACGATTTTATTAATTTTGAGGAGTATTAAATCTTTTTTTGTCCAAGTGAGATGAGTAAATGCACACTCAAATTTAGTCTAGAACTACAATAAACATCAAGTTTACACACAAAGCCTTTTTCAACAATGAGGCAGGAGAGCTGTCAGTTAATAAATGGGAAAACAAAGAAACTTGTGTTACTTATTTGAAGAAGTAACATATATTTTGTTGTAAATTATAAAAGTAATGCATTACTTTACTAGTTACTTGAAAAAGTAATCTGATTACATAACTCAAGTTATTTGTAATGTGTTTCCCCCAACACTGTATAACTTAGATATAATAGAACTTATATAACTTAGATTTGTACCCATTACTCCAATATTACTGGCCGTGTAAACCTCTGTAAAAACATTCTGTACATTAACAAGCTCAAATAGGCCTACTATAAAAAGTTAAAAACTTTAAGTTTAAATAACTCAACTTAAAAGATCCTATGCCAATAAATTTTTCATGTTTTGTCAGGATTTTGAAAGTTATCAGGATTTTGTTGTTGAAGTAAATACATACAAACGTGAAAAAAGCGATGCAGCATTCAGTCCCACACACTCCTTACAGAAAGTTTTGCTATTTTGAAAACAGCTCAACAACTTTTACACCACAGTTATTTTTTCATCCCATTTACTTAATACTTCCCTATAGTCTGTGCTCTATGAGAGAACACCTGGCACAAGAACTAAAAAAACAGCAGACAGAATATTGGGTGATGCTGAGTATATACTTTAGAAAGCATTAGCAAGAATAAGTAGAACTGTAATGGCAATTTACCTCCACGATATTACTAAATCAATTTCTGAACTCTCTACTTCTTTTAAACTGCTAGCTTATAAGCTAAACTAGATCTGAATAATCCACTTAAGGTGATGAACATCAGAAACGAGGCAACATAATTTAATTTAATAAATGAACGAGCTGTTGAGAGGTATCGGTCAACTACTCTAGGGGCCAGTCAGAAACAGGGGGCCGATAAAGAACAGTGATACTCACTCAGAGGGGTTACAGTGATCTGAACGTTACGGGACCGCTTGCTGCGGTCGATGAAATCTCCAGTGGGGGTCTTTTCCCGCTCCGTCACTCTGCAGATGTATTTCCCAGAGTCTTCCGGCAGTAGCCGCTGCAACTTGAGCAGGTGGATGGAGGGGCTCTCTTTCCGCACGGTCAGGAGGCCAGACGCTTCTCGCTCCACATAGTTGGGTCCCAGTACGGGCACGGCGCTGGGCCCGATCACGGCTACGGGTGAGCTGCTGAAGACCCACGACACCGAGAAGAAGCGCTCTGGAACATTCTGAGCGTCAATGGTGCAGCGGAGCTCCAGCGGCTCACCAGCCGTGTAGGCCCGGCGCTCGGTGTTCACCTGGATACTAAAGTCCCGATCTGCGAGAGAAAGAGAGAGAAAAGATGATTTAGCCATGAAAAAAAACATTAGACTAACTTCAAACCAACACACACATCAAACGCAAACAAATCCTCATCAAACGCAAACGAATCCTCATTTTTAGGACTAATTTTCTTATGATATGCAGTTTGCACGCCTCATCAGTAAAGCACTTTCTTCACTTCATTTGGCTTCTTCAGAGGTGATTGCCCCTGGGCTCTAATTACTACAACACACTTCCTGAGAAACACTAACTACATAAGTACATGGCACTGACACAGAGACAGGACTCAGGAAATGTACAAGGGGGGATGATGATGTGTGTTTTTACATGCAGTCATTATTTGCATTTCATGCTGTGCACTGCTCTCCAAAATAACAGCACAGTAAACAGGCCTGTGCTAAAAGAGGAATTCACAGATCACAGGGAAACAAAGGCCAGTGGCTGTTTTTCCTTTTCTCCTGTGGTACTCAAGCAGCGTGACGCTCCATTAGGACATTACTGCCCGCCTGAACGGAGCCGGTCTGCGTATTAGGACTAAATCAGTACGCTTCAGACAGATTAATTAGCAGTGGAGATGAAGAGCTGCACATGGAAAGGAATGGAAAATCAACAGGATACAGTACATTAGGCGAATACATACCCCTCTATTCTCTAAATCAGTCTGTTGTGGAAGAGAGGTCATCAAAAATCTAAATGATGTGATCCAAATCTTTTTGTGAGATGACTGCTGTTTGACAGATTTTTTTTTTTCATGGCCAGATCAGTCTTTCATAATAAGCATCAATAACTAATCAGCACATTCCATATCAATAAATATTTTAAACTCATACTTTTAACATCTATTATCAGTCCTCGTTCATTTTTGATTAAAAGGGTGGCAATCAAGGGGCATAAATTAGCGCTGGGTGATACACTGAATATTCACATTAAATTGTGAATAAAGCAACATTTGCAAGGTTTTTTATGTAAAGTTAAATTATGAATTAAATAAAACTTAAAAGCAACATGCCATTTCTGTAATGTAATAACGGCTCTGTTCTTGGAGCAGATAAACGTTTCGCTATTAATAAAAACGCTGCTGCTCAACACTGTTGAGGGACACACAGTCTCAAGTAATTCACACATGCTTAATCACTCTCTCTCTCTCTCTCTCTCTCTCTCTCTCTCTCTCTCCAACATGACATCATGACTTTTGCATAAACATATACGCCACTTTCGAGTCAGGTGGCGTGTCATCTCTACGCATTTTGAGCTATCCGCGTGTATGCGTATATGTCTACGCCATTAACGTCCTCGTCATTCCGCGTGTCTGTACACGCAGTCAAATCTCCCGTCATAAATGCCATTAACCCCAGTGACGGTTAAGTTTAGGGTTAAGTCAATGGCGTTCATAAACACGCTGAAAGGCGATTATGCGTCTTGATAGCACGGCAAAAATGGAAATACGAATTGGCATGCCATACACACGCTACTTCATAAGATCAGTCTGCTCTCTCTCTCTCTCTCTCTCTCTCTCTCTCTCTAATAACTGCATTAGACTGCTATCAGTGGCTCAAATCTCCGTTAATAGCTCTAAAATTACGTTTTGGAATTAGCAATGGAGGCTTGGGATTTGGGACTGTTGAATTTGAACCACTGAGTTTGTGGAAGCAAATTCGTAAAGCGAAATAAAATGGATTCCTTCATTGATCAAGGACCCACTGTACTATGCAATCAAAGCCAAAACAATTAAGGGAAAAAAAAAAATTAAGGGAAAAACAAAAAAATATATCCGCTTTGAAAATAAATCTTGAATTATTCGGCAAGTAATTGTACAAATAATCTCACAGTTTGCAGTGGTGTTTCAGCTTGCTCGAGAGCTCAGAGAGGGAGACAGCAAGAGTACACTAGTTACAGTATACGTCACAATTTCTCCTCTATGTGCCCTGAAAGAGATGATTGACAGACAAGAGTACAAAAGTGCTTTGTACTAAAGTCACACAAAGTAACTATGTTCCCAGAACCCAAGACCTCAGGGGTTGGTAACTTATTAGAATCTAATTATGAAGACGGTCTCCCTCTTTTTACAGCTTCGTTAGAGTCAAAGTACCGTACAATAAGATGACTGTGGACAAATATGACATTCATAAGGACAGGGATCCTCTCAAAGTCACATGAATAAAGAATTTAGAATGGGAAGGAAATGTCAGGATAGAGGGTTCACAGCATGAATGATGCCATTAGATTTATATTTATTATGCACAATAGATTTGCATGAGAGCTAACTGGGGAGAGAGAGAGGGAGAGAGAGAAAGAGACAATTGTGTAGTGACTGAGTGGTAATAGCTGGAAGAGGGCTGTATGAACAAGCTGCTGTATGGGATTCGCTGCCAAAAGCTTCGTCACAAAATGAGTCAATCGATCTGCTGTATTATGTGCTTCAATGAGCCGTCTGATGTCCTATTAATGCTTACCGCACAACTTCTGCTTTTCCCCCACAGTTCAACAGAGCAATAAACACATTAACAGATAGGAGAGGGAAAACACACAAACGTTTACATGTTATTAACATGACATATGGTGTGCATTGAGCTAATGTCAACATAAATATGCAAAATAGAGTAATTACATATAACCGAGCGCCTAAACGTGTGGCTCTCTTTACCAGCTTTGAGCTCCCCTGCTGTGAAAATCCAGTTTAATCCAGTTTAATTTAGAAAATGGTTACTGGTTTTTAGCTGGACCAAATTGGTTATTGGCTGGTTGACCAGCAACTGTGCTCCAAAAACCAGCTTGAGCATCATGACCAGTTGGTAACTGGTTTGTTGTTGGTCCAAGCTGGTGAACAAGCTAATGACCAGCTAGAAAACACAGCTAGCTGAAACCAGACTTTTCCAGCCAATCCAGCCCAGTCAATTCAGTCAACTAAAATTGAAAATACATAAACTGGCTCAAATCCCACAAAAAAGACCCACCCAATAACTCCTGCACAGACAAGTGCACTTTCAATTGTGCCTAACAGGACAGCACACAGTGAGCATCTTGTCTAGCTAGAAGGGGACTTGGACACAGCCAGATAGAAAAGGGGATTACAGACAAATCTGTCTTCTCTCGTCTCAGTGTTGCTCTTGAAATGCTCTCTGGAATTTCTAATGGGAATCTCAGTCAGGTGAAGCCTGGCTTGCATACTGAAGGATCAGGTCTTAATGACTTCACCTTGAAAATCCATTAAATATTTGTTTAAAAACAACATTCTACTAAAGTTTCCAGTGTTTTTAATAAACCCTTCCTGTGTGTAATTGCCAGGGGTTTTTTTTGTTTGTTTTTTGGTTACAGTAAAACAGATGACTATTTCTAAAGGCTTTCAAAGACCATTTACTGTAACTGGCTCCACATTCTGAAACTTTGAACAATGCACTTATCAATTAACATAAAAAGATTTCATAAGCAACTGATTCAGTTCACAGTTTCAAATCCACTCTGTTAAAAGTCTTCTCCTATGTCCACTCAGAATCAAGGATTCTTGCACCAAGACATCAGTTTTATATGGTAGGACAACTGTTTTCCAAAATATGATATTTTGAGATTTATTTATTTTTTTGGTCCAATTGAAGTCAGTGGTTTCTTCAATTGTACCAAATTCTAAAAAAAAAAAATCTTCTTCTTCTTTGTTCCTCAAATCAAAGTCATATGACAGTGAGTAAAATATTTACCTTAGATTAAAAGGATTTATTTTTTTCTTTTTTGGGCCAAACTCCACTAACAGTCAAGTATTACATGACCATGTAACAAGAATAATTGATCGGGTGAGCTGAAGGGAAGTGGATGAGTCTCCAATCTGTCTCTATGAGGAGCATGTCTGGTCTGCATTCATCGCACCCTGATCCTACACACACAAATCACATGCATTAGACTCGGTCCACATCTGCAGCCTGGCTCTGTGGAGGTGCCCTTGGGAGACAGCCATCCGAACATCCACACCCTAAAAAACCCAACCTGTCCTCTCCTCATCCAATCCGCCCACCTCTGGGACTCTTGACCAATAACAGGTCTAAATTAACATGCCACTCGCAGCTTCCGTCCCGCAGCGTGTTTGATGAGGAGGTGCGCTGTCACCTCCCATTCTCATCAAAGCGCCGGGCCAGCGTGCTTTGAGATTGAGTTACTGCCCTGTATTCAGTCAGTCAGAGAGAGACAGCGCTCATGTCTGCTGTACATGCCGTCTTATGCTCAGGATGGAGCAACGGCTCTGTAATAAATTGGAAAGTAATGGACTAAAGCCAGAGATGAGGGGGGGCATTTTTTAGCCCCAGCCTCTGTCCCATGAAATATAGCTATTCTGGAGAAGGGGAGAGAGAAAAAGTTCAGATCTATGACATCCTCTACATTGTGTTAAAGAATATCTCACATAATATGACAGCTGTGAGACACAGTGCAAAATTTAGTCATTATGATTGAAAATCAAACTTTTAGACGTGCCACAAGAGGTTTGACCAGTGATATCAAATATCAACGGATCTAATGGCCAAAAGCCTGGCACAGCGTCTAAAGGTGCCATATTTGATTTGACAACAACTGAAAGGGATAGGTAAAGGTGCAGTATGCGAGTTCAGCGTTGTTGAACACTGTTAATATTCGAAATCAACCCAAACAAACACATCCCTTCCTTCATTGCTCCACCCTCAAAATGCACAAACATGTAATGCAAGAGTGTCTCTTTAATCATTGCAGAAGCAAAACAGAAATATTTATGAAAAATAAAGCAAAGATAGCTAACAAATGACCTAGAAGCACAAAAAATAACATACAGTACACAAGAGTACATACTGTACAAGCAAGAGTTTGCCAGCCGCACACCGGCTCCAAAGATGATACTCAAAACCAATGTTACTTGTGTATGGAGCAGAAATAATGCAACCTCAGTGTCTGTTTTCAGGCCTTCCTCCTTAGCATTGGAAAGCTTTTCTAACATTAACACTGGTCCTAGACCTCTTGCCTGATCATAGCAATTTTTTCCAGTGATTTTTTTGTAATGTCTCTCAGCCATATCTCTTTCTAGTCTTTCTTCAAATCTCTCTCCAGCTTATGACATTTCTTTCTTCGGTGGAAAACAAAACATGTACAGTATATATACATATTTAATTTGTTACACTGTCTAAAAGGGATAGTTCACCCACAAATGAAAATTCTGTCATCATTTACTCTCCCTCATGTTGTTCCAAACTGGTATGACTTTGTTTTGTGGAACATGTTGGCAACCAAACTGTTTTAGTGACCACAGACTTCAATTGTTTAGACAGAAAACACTGAAACATTTCTCAGAATATCCTTTATCTCTTACTCTCGTTTTGTACTCTGTTCACTTTCATTGTTTGGACAAAAACAGTTGAAACATTTTTTAAAATACCTTCTTTTGCATTCTCATTTTCCACAGAATAAACAACAATGTGAGTTTGAAATGACATAAGGGTGAGTAAATGACAACAAAATTTACATTTTTTTTTTTTTTAACATTTTTTGGTCATCAAGCAGATGTCAGCCATTGGTGATTACTCAACTGACAGGTTGGTGTCATATGAATCAATGCGACTGGCTCATTACCTGATGCCAAGAGACCACTGAGACTGCACTACGCAGTGCTCTATAATAGCCCTCATGACACTCACAATATCAATGAGTGGAGTGGACATGTGAGAGCCAATACCTGCTCTGTCCTCTATGACAAGGAGTTCAATGTTAAGAGGATCAGCAACCACAGCTCGGGGACTCTGGTAATGTGTTTAATTTTAGATAGTGATCAGCTCACAGGGCATATTGAAGTATTTCTGTAGGGAGGCAGAGCCATGCAAAACCTGTTTTACAGAGCATGGTAACCATGACCATGACATGGTTTATTTAGAATTTGCTTTATTGTGAATTATAAGGAGGAAGGTTTTTGAAGAATTTATCACCTTAGAGCAGTCACTATATTTAATTTCTATAAAACACTATATTTGAAGAGTTCAGATGCAAAAGCCTCTAAATGCCATTTGAAATTTTCCTCTAAAATGACCATTTTTATCAAGCTTGTATATTTAAGTTCAGTAATTTCACTTAAATGACAATTAATAGGTAATCTTCATTGCCATTTAAGTGAAATTACTGAACTTAAATATACAAGCTTGATAAAAATGATCATTTTAGAAGAAAATTTCAAATGGCACTTAGAGGCTTTTGCATCTGAACTCTTCATTTTCTTTATATTTATTACGATCAAAATCAAGATTGTGAAGGATAGTACAGTTTGTTGAATATGTTGCACTGTCTTAATGGGATAGTTCCAAACCTGTATGAGTTTGTTTTGTGGAACATAAAAGACATTTTGAAGAATGTTGGCAACCAAACCATTTTAGTGACCACAGACTTCAATTGTTTAGACAAAAAACATTGAAACATTTATCACAATATACTCTGTGTTCCACAAAAGAAAGAAAATCATTCAGGTTTAGAACAACATAAGGGTGATTTAATTATGTAAAATTATACATTTTTGGGGAGTTATCCAGTCTTGGGTCATGTATAATGGTCCAATTTCAGAGTGTTTTGAAAAAATATGTTTCCTATGTTTCATCAGCTGAACGAATAACACCCAGATACACAATAAATATCCTTCAAGAATCACAAATGGAAGACGTTACAAATGGTTCATTAACCATTCTTGTGTTAGTTTACATAAGATTGAATTTATGCAAAGTACATGCAAATTCTTTCACATTTCATGAATGAGGCCTATTGAAAGCATCGTATATTACTTCTATCCCTCACAGACATATCACATTAAACATGATGTCTACTTTGACTTATTTCCAAAGTCTTCACTTTTATTAAAAAAAAAATAATAAAATCTTTTCAACTACGTTCCCACAGCAACTGGATGTGGCTCACATATGTGCTTTTCCACCTCTGAGAAGAAAATAATGTTTTCCTTACCAACACCTCTTCTATTCAATGTGTTAAATTAAATCGATCTCAGTGTATAACTAGCAATTAGAATCTGAATGAGCAATTTCATTCTGAAAAAGCAATTTCTCTCTGAAAGATTCACACTCACCTGTGGGCTGAACTTTGACAGACGTCTTCTCTGACTCCATCCGGGTCATGGCGTACCAGGAGCGATCCGGGTCCTGGATCCATTCAGAGGCCTCGCAGTAGAACTCTCCCTGGTCCGTGGGCTGCAGTTTGTAGATGGTGAGACGGTAGGATGTGGCGCTGGTCTTGTCTAGCCGCAGGTCTCCTGAAGATAGACGTTGGCGGTACTGTCCTCCCGGCCTTAGAACGAAGTCCCGTGACAGAGTGACCAGATCACGTAGACCAGAATTGGGGTCATCAGCAGGACGTAGGTACCAGCCCACAGACACGTGAGTATGCTGGGATGTCTGACGTGTGACCTCACAGCTCAGCTGTAGAGTGTCCCCCTCCACTTTCGAGAGAGTTTGAGCAGTGGCCGTCACTGTCAAAGTGTCTGGGATCACTGTGGACGAAACCAAGGTATGAGGTTAGTTTGAGAGTAGAGTTCATGAACAACAAAACACACCCTTAAAGCCATTCAGTCCATGTCCTATTAACATTTAAACAGGATTCTCTACAGCTCATCTGTAGAGTGTCCCCCTCCACTTTCGAAAGAGTTTGAGCAGTGGCCATCACTGCCAAAGAGTCTGGGATCGCTGTGGACAAAACCAAGGGATGAGGTTAGTTTGAGAGTAGAGTTCATGAACAACAAAACACACCCTTAAAGCCATTCAGTCCATATCCTATTAACATTTAAACAGGATTCTCTCCTGCAGGGTAGCGCAATCTCAACCCTTTTATTAACTTATAGCCTCCAGAAAAAGACAAGCCTCTGTTTGTCCCCAACAACCCCTTTCTCTTTTTCTTCCTGTGTCAGCCTCTGGGTTTCCAATAAAATATGGCAGAATTTAACAACAACAACAACAAAACAGAGAATGAATAGAGCACAAAATGAAATATGTACATGATGCTTCCAAAGGTCAGAATGCACTCTAGCGCACAAGTATCTATACGATATATATTGGCTGAAACCGATAAGCTGATAATTATTTGTATGTACAACCGACAACCATTAATAACCAATATCAAAAAATATAAACCATTTTGTCACAAATAAATAAAATAAAATAATAATGAATTTAAATGAAAAATTAATACTCAAGATTACATTTAAGTTTTTATTAAAGTATTAGTGTTTATAAATATTAACTTTAGGTAATCATTATATTACGTCAAAGGTAATCTAAATGCAACAATAAGGCAAATGAGCATGTACACAAAATGTATGAAATAATTTTAATTCCATTATTACGATTATAAAAAAAATGTTTTACAATGCTACAGTTATAATAGTAGATTGTAACAGTCAATATGCTTACAGTAACTTAGGTCAGTTTTAAGGCACAGGCATTTAAATCTAAATGTATTACCTGCTAGAACACTAAGATTTGTAAGAGCACAAATTAAGTATGCGCTCATGTACTTGCCTTAAAGGGATACTCCACTTTTTTTTTTTGGAAATATGCTCATTTTACAACTCCCCCAGAGTTAAAATGTTGGCATTAGCATTAACATTAGCATTTCTCCCACAAAAATTATCAAAGTGTTTATATTTTTCTTATTTGAAACTTGACTCTTCTTACATCATCCACTAAGACAGATGGAAAATGTAAAGTTGTAATTTTCTAGGCTGATATTACTAGGAACTATACTCTCATTCCTGCGTAATAATCAAGAAACTTCACTGTCGTACCATGAGTGCAGCAGGCGTATGACTACACAAACTTAGTCCCGGAGACGTTGGAAGCTGGGCACTATTTTGAGGCGCTGCGTCATAACATTACGCCTGCTGCACTCATTTTTTTTGGGAGAAATGCTAATGGTCTTGTGCACTTCAATGATGTATGCTAAGCTATGCTAAAAGTGGTACCGCCAGAACCAGAGATCGGCTGAATGGATTCAAAAAAGTTAAATCTCAACATTTTAACTCTGGGGGAGTTGTAAAATGAGTGTATTTCCAAAAAAAGTATCCCTTTAAGTACGTTTCTGATCTTACCCTTTTGGGTTAAGCAAACACGGTTTCTCTCTTTCTCTTGTGTGAAGTGCCACAGGCTCACATAGGTAAACAACTTGCTGCAGATGCATATGTCATGAACACATGTTTGCATGAAGCTGGGGAAGCATGAAAGAAGAACAGACCCGTGGTCGCAGATAAACCAATTTACAAACATTGATTTTGTTTTCATGAACAGCTTGCTGTGCGAAATTGCAGCCCGAACCCACGCTTGCACACTCCAGCTCAGCAGCAGGGCATTCCAGCACATTTCTGACACCGCGGTTCCATCCTGTAGCGCAGAGAAGACACGACATGATATTCCAGATCCCATTACTGCTAGATGTCTTTGTACAGTGCTAGCATTGATTAGCACCAGTCAGATCTTCAGCCCGGGAACGGCGGCTCACAGGCTGTGAAAAAAAACTGCTCTGACATCACTGGGCGAGAAATGGATTTTCGTGACAAACCAAAATCCTGGAAATAAATATGTGACATCTTGCAAGCTACAGCTGCAATATTTACTGCATCTGAATGAGGTCCTGACAGCTGCCAATGGCTCCAATGCCTCAAGTTTCTTTAAAAAAAAATAAAATAAAATTAAAAAACCCATTACAAATCCTGAGGCGTTTAGCAAAATAAAAATGAACTTTTGAGTTAATTGAGCATGACTATTTGTAGATGTCAAATAGACCTTTTTCTAAACTGTAGCAGAGATTAAAAAAAAAATATATATATATTCAAATGACTTTCCAAAAATAATTGTGCCCATAAAAGGTGATAAGTATCGTGTCAGTGTCTCCAACACTGAAGCGGGTCCAATGTCAATGCATCCAGCCAACACTTGGAGGAGCATCTAATGAAATGTTCCTGGTGCCACCTTGGAAAAATGGTTTTTGAAGAGCCTGAGGTAAACTTAAGTGCATGCACCTGGCTTATGACAGATATATAACATTTTAGTTGAAGAATATCTAATTAACATCAAATTATTTAAGGCTGAAATAGACATAAGCTTCTACCTGAAATTGGAACACATTCCTGTAGTTTAACTCACATGGTGCTAGTCTAGCAATGGCAAGGTTATTGGTTTGTTTGGCAGGAAATGCATTAATTGCTCTAATACAATATGTAAGTTGCTTTGGTGAAAATTTGGGATGCACTGATAATAAAATTGTGGCTGATACTAATATGACAACAGTTATTTTCATATTATAGCCTGGCCATAACTGATAAATGGTTAAAATTATCTAATATTAAGTTGAAAAAAAATTAAACACATTGAAATGAACCAGTCAGGCCCCTTGTTACTCTCTCTGTCTCATCATTGTAAGTGTGTGCTGCAGTCCTGAATTCGCTCGGGCCATAAGCTCCTCTGTCCAGGCAAGTCGTTTTGTGTGCGGAGTGGTGTACGGATCCTAGCATTTCGGGCTAGTTTGGTTCCGGTTCGATGTCGGGGTTCGGACATTCATGCTCTGTGTGTTCGTCTTCTGCTGTGAGCACACAGTTTGTATTTCGGACACGTGCTTTCATGTTATGTTATGTTATGAGTGGATATGCAGTCGGTGAGAGCTCTCATTGGCTGCCTTGTTTGTGTCATGGCTCATGCTTCAGATCTTAAAGTGACAGCAGTCTAATAAACCTGCTGCTGTGATGTCTGTTATAAATGTAAATCAAAGAACAAATGACTGACTGCTCTTGACGGAATAACTTTTGTAGCTTTAATAAGGATTAATCTATATTTAATTAATAAAAATAAAAATTAGAAATTAAAATCTAATATATCTATGAACATGAATAATAGTTAGTTGCCTTTAATCAATATTGTAAGGATATTGTGTATACCTAAACAAAATCCTGTCAAATGCATAAATGCAAGTCCTAATAACAAATTTCATTAAGCTTTCTGCTACTGTAGCAATAAGAGTCCTCTCCGCTCCACTTAACACATTATATTACAAATTCTTCCTGAAAATCAGCAAAGAATTTTTCAGATTTAGTCTGGGAGTCGGGGACTAAGAAATGCGCAACTGGGTTCAACTGAGCCACTTGACATTCAAATCTAAATAGAAGACTTCAAACTCACTCTATTTTTTTTTTCCCAGAGAGCTGCATGAAAGCCTTTCTGAATCAATCAGTCTGTCTCTTTCTTTGCAACTGGCCCTGAATAAATAAAAACCTATTGAGGTATACGCTTTAAGCAAACAGACTCATACAGTACATGCGCTGCTTCGGCATTACTGCACATGTGAAAATGAATCCACTAGGTTTCAGCAAGTTGGTTTACCTGGATGCACATTAGGAGCTTTTGCACATAAGAACTCAATTATTCAACTTTATGTTAATCACACATTATCACTGCTGAGCTAGAGCGCAAAAGCCACAAAAAAGGTAGGCAACACTAATGAAACAACAGCAAACTGGTGGGGAGAGAAAACGGCTTATATAAAACTAATGAAATGGGAGAAAGACTGCATGAGAGAGAAATGATTGACAGAGGAGGAACAGCAGACGGCAGCCATGCAAATGAAACGAGGGGAAAGAAATGAAAGGAACAGAGGAAAGATGGCACTGTTTAACAGCAGGTTACTTCAGCATTGCTTTGAAGAATCACAGATGTTAGACACAAAGACAGAAAGTGAGAATAAAAGAGCAAAATAGTCAAATGAGGCTGAGAGGGAGGGCTGAGAGACTGAGGTGGAGGCCCTCTGCTGGGTTTTTTTTATAGGAAAGCTAACGGTGTCTCTCACACCCTGACGTACAAGCCGGGGGGACCTACCACTTTAGCAATCACAACAGAGGTGGGGAGACACAAGGAAAGTACGGGTGAGGATAAAATTAGAGGGACTTTTACCATTCGGGCATCTATGATTATTCTTGTACTCTTTAGATGTGTGTATAGAAGAGTAAATGACGGTGTAGGAGTGAGATTGAAATAACCCGCTAACACAGATTCCTTTGTGGAGGAGTGTGAGTGTGTGTTCCTATGTAGGCGAGGACCTGAGGGACAATCTTCACTACAGTAGTACCACATACGCCCACACACTCATCGCTGACTCCATATAATCATCATGCGTTATGATGCAATGCAAGTAATGGGAAAACTCAATAAGGGTCCTTCATCTTAGCCTAAACGCATCCTAAACAAACAATAAACCCACAGTCTCCAGAAGAAACATGATCGATACTTAAATATTAGATATCATATTCTACAGAAACGAGTTCGTTACCATAACAACTACTCAACAAGGTCCCATGGAAACAGCTAGCAGTTTCCATGCCAACATTACATCCTCAACTTGTAAAAGCAAGATATTGATGGCATCAAACTACACCCTCTCCAAGTTAAGTCACCAAATCAAGCTTTAATCTCAGGATATTAGCATCCAGTTCACCAGCGGAACAGGGCTGTG